GATTAGTAGACCTACACTTTGTCTGACTTCGTTAATGCATTTACAGAACAAGTAAGGTCTTGCTGGGATTATTTTTGTGCCTTCTCTTGTGTTTGTGCTGCTGAACGTTTTCCTTTTAACTCTTTTGAATTCTTGGGGTGCAGTCTCTTGAGCTTTTTTTCCTTTGCGATTACTTTTTCCAGTAACCCCTGCACTCCCTTGTCCCTAAAATCTGTGGTACCCAAAGCGTGGTGCTTGGGGCGATGGTGAGTGATCTGCAAGGGGGTTGCAGAACCTTATGAAACATCCTTATTTGTGGGCGCTACCAGAAATACCACATGGCTTTGGCCATGGTTCGTTGGCCAAAAGCGGCTAGTTGTTACTAACTTGTAGTAACTTTTTTCCTCATGACCTTAATATCAGTTTCATGAATTTCTCACTTCAATATTTTTTGGAGCAGCGAGTGTTGTTATCTCAGAGCAGTGGCTGAATCTAAACAGGGTGAGGAGTGACGGAGTGCAGGGACCAGACCAAGTTGCTCTGAGTGGGTGCAGCTCTGGTTTCTAACCTGGCGTTCCAGACCCCATGCCGAAATGTCAACGCTGCAGCTGGCCCTTCTACTGGAGGCCACATCAGAGCTGCCTTCGTGGACGGGGCTGGGCGTTTGGTCACCAAGCGTGATTCAGGTTAGAGAAACCACGCGGGTAAGAGAAAGTGGTACATGGGGAGCAACGAGGCTGTGGTACCCATTTGGGTGTAACCCCATCTCCCAGATCTTGTCATACTTTGGGGGACAGCATCGTTCGTGGGTCGTCCTGTGCTTCTCAAGATGGGTTGTTCCAGTCCTCTGTTGTCCTTTAACAGCCAGATTCAGCTAGTGCATCAAATTTGCAAAGTATTTGCTAAGTTTTCCCCTTGTCTTGGGAAATAAGCTGGATGTAACAGCAGAAACCACACTTAGGTGATAAACTGGCCCGGTAGAATTGCCCTATTGCTCTGGGCTCCTGGCTGGGCGGTTTGGCACATCCTTCGCGGTCATTCTTGCAGTAGTCACGCTGGTTCCGTGTTGGCATGGGTGGCTTTATGACTTCCTCCTGCTTCTGAATGTCCTCAGTTGAACTTTGTGCAATGAAGCAGACAGACGAGCGCAAACCAGTTAATGCTTTGTCTTGCTTTTAGTGCCGCTCTGGTGTTGCCTCAGTCACGATGCGTTAGCTGGAAGGGCCTTGCTCTTTAGTTCTTACTTGGTGGTGGGCGCTCTGCCATGTCAGATATGGAAGAAGGGCCTTGCTCATTAGTTCTTACTTGGTGGTGGGTGCTCTGTCCTGTCAGATATGGGAATTGTTCTGCTCTGCAGTGGTGTATAAATCCCTCTTTGCTTTTCCTATTGAAACGTGTGGCTCTTAAGACTGTTTGCTTGAAACAAGAGAAGGTGTAGTGCCATGGAGGAACTGACTTTTTATTTAATAACGGGCTGTACAGCTAAGATGTACTGCAGAGCAGCAGCGTCATGGTTGAGCTTTCTGCTGCTCCAGCAGTGTTTGTACCCAAATCGTGCTTTGTCCTGAAGCAGCGTTTCAGACAAGGCTGAACACAGCCAGACACAAACTCCAGGCTATTGCAGAGAGGATATCTTTCCCCTCCTGTGCTGCTAGTGCAGATCCCTCCAGGGTAGGCAGCCAGAGTAAAGCCTCCATAGATGTGAGGACCACAGCCGCTCCCCAGGTCTTCAACTGCCAGCCTGGTTTGTGGTTGCACGAGGGGTGTAGAGTGCAGGCAATGAGGTTTAAATCAACTTCTGGGGCTGCGGGTTAAGCCCTGGGGTCCAGTGCTGTCAGTGTGCTGATATCCATATGACCTCCCCACCTATACGTTGGCTGGCCGTGCCAGCAAGGGGTTGGGGCGTGTTTATTGCCAGGGCAAAGCCTGTGTACATAGCTGTTGCGCACAGTCTTCCCCCGCTTCCTCCTAGTTTACCATCTCCTCCCTCCTAATCGTTTCAGTAAACAGCTTTAACCTTTGAAAGGGAAGACCGGGTCTGATGCAGGCACTTGGAGGATCTGTGCTTGGGTGGCTGCCCTTGCATGGGCACCCGGTGCACCTCCCATGATGCTGGCTGGGAGCACAGCTGCCATCCACAGCTTTGTCTGTTTGAAGGATTTTATTTCTGATTTTTACTACCAATTTCTTTAAGGCCATCAGTTCTGGGTGAAGCATGGTCAAGGTGGCACCAGCGCTGCTCAGTGCTGGAGCAAAGGCATCTCACTGTCAATGGGCCTCTTCCCAGAAGAGGAGGTTTTTAGGGTGGGAGCAGTGGCTCAAACTTTTGCTGGGTTGCTGATGGCACATGATATACCGAATTGCTTAAATAGTTGAGATACGTGTGCGATCCTGAGCAGCGGTTGTTGTCATGGGGCATTTTCCTCTTCTTTGAATTGCTTAAATAGTTGAGATACTTGTGTGATCCTGAGCAGCAGTTGTTGTCATGGGGCATTTTCCTCTTCTTCATCTTCCCCTGAGCTGGTGTCCATGCCCCGTGCTCTCTCTAGTCAGAATACATCCCTTAAATAACAGCCCAAACCTACAAATAGCAGTAGCTTGGGAGGCTGGTGTTAAAACTACACCCGTGTCCTTATCGTGGATGTGTTCCAGCCAAGGCGGGAAATGCTGATGATTCTCGCTGGATTAAACGGTTCAGAGGTCTGGGAAGAGCCAGCAATGACTAATGGCCTGCATTAGCAGCCAGCCTACCTCCACATCTGTCCCCGTATCCGTCCCCGCAGCAAGGGCTCTCCCAAGAGCCCCAAGGTCTCGTCTACAGGGGATCGAGAAGGTGGAGCAACACCAATGGTGCAGCTGTGGCTGGAGAAGCTGGACCTCTTGCTGCTTCAGCTGGCTCTTACTTTCCAGTCCTGCAGATGCGAATTCAAAGGGGAAAAGCTGTTTGCCAAAGATTTCTGAAGAAATTATCAGTGTGGTGCCTGAATGACAAGGGTACTGGGCTGATAGCGCTCTGTGGTGTTAACCTTGTATGGCGACCTTCATTTAGAAGATCAAGAGCAGCCTACACACTGGGAGCGCCTTCTTCTAAACGATCCCTTTATTTTAGGGAATACCCATTGAATTTCTTCAACCGTTGCTAACGGCAAGGAATTGAGCTTGTAATAAAATGAAGACTAGAAGACTGTCTCTTGAAGGTCTTGGAGATGCCAAATTTGGCATCAATCTGTGCCAAACACGAAGATGGGCCTGAAATGATCTTGTAGAAATAGCTGATAGTGTTGCCTTTGACTTTCACTCATTGAGTAGCAGTGGATGAAAGGCAAAGACTGTGTAAAATATTACATTTTTAGGTAAGAGAGGCAAGAAGAGAGTTCGGTGGGTTTTTTTGGTGGTTTTTTGTTTTGGTGGTGTTTTTTTTTTTTTTTTTTGAGTTGAAAGACCAAAGAATGGATCTTGGCAGCACTGGCCTGGCATGAGATGCCACTTCCCTTTTGTTTTTCTTGAAGTCTGGTAATTGCACTTTATTGCTGTGGGTGGTGAGAGCGAAGCCAGGAAGCCTCTGGTTAAATAATCAGAGAAATAATCTGTTCTGTAGAACTGAGATGGAGCTGAGGCTTGGCTGCAGGTAGAAGAGCATGTACTGAAAATGGCTCAAGAACAGAGTGGGGAGTTGAGGGGTGATGCTGGAAAGAGAAGTGTCGAGATTTGACGGGCTTGGTTGCTCGGTTGTTGGGATGCCCAGTTGTCAGCACGCTGGGAGCCAGGATCATCTTGGCTGGGGAATAGCCCTTGGCTTG